TACATAAAACCATGATGAAGGGCGTGTTTGTTTTGTGAAAAACTTCATGACAAAGAAAAATGCTTTCCGTGAAAATCATTTCCAAGGAAAATAGTTAGTTTTCATTTGCTTGCTTATATGATGAAAAGCACATAAGACTATATTATAAGATAGAAGGTGGGAAGTTGTTGAGCATTAGCAGTAAGAGACTTGTTATACTTGGGAAAATGATTTCCCTCTATTCATAATCAAAAATTCATTTTTCTAATTTTAAGCGTGGGTGTTTTTTTTTTATATAGTAAATGTTTTAAGGGTGTGTTTATCTTGCAAAAATTTCATGACAAGGAAAATGGTTAGTTTTCATTTGTAAATGGTTAGATGGAAGGTAGGAAGCTGCTAAGCATTTGTTGTAATAGACTTGTTATGCTTAGGGAAATGACTTTCCTATATTTAGAATTGGTAATTCATTTTTCTAATTTCAAGTGTGGATGTTTTCTTTGATCGTAAATATTTTTCCATAGACTAACATTTTGAATGATCCAAACACGTGAAAGTTCGGAAAAATAATTTGTGAAAAGCTCTTTCGGTTAAATAAACACACCCCAAGTTAAATGAGCCACTTGATAACTTGGTACATACAAAAAGGATACTAGAAATGCCATAATTTTCGTAGGGCACTTACTTGAGTGTCAAAACTTTTCGCCAGATCACTTAAGTGCCAAATCGGAAAAAAAAACAATAAATTAAGTGCTTCTGGTGACAAATTTTGGCCAAAAATCAGACGTGGCTTTTTTAATTAGATATTAGTGTCCACGTGGATTTTTATAAGAAAAAGAAAGAAAGAAAAAGTCTACATCATCTCCATCTTTGGTCAATCAAGTCTACGCGAATAATGGAAACACACCATCGTTGTTGTCCAAGGCGTCGAAGGACCCATCGTCCATGGCTGTTGTAGCGGCTGCATGATCGATGAGGCTGATCGTCCTCCCTCAGCATTCGTTGTATGTGGTCTCTGTAGCTGCTCCATGACCAATGAGACGGGTTGTCCTCCCTCTGAAATCGATATGGCAAATCAGAAATGGCCGACTCTCTATAGTCATGACAACGGCGGGAAGACGAAGTTGACCGGATTTGGACGAGTGGCTTGCGTGGAGAAAACGTGCAAAGACTTGGCAATTCTTCTTCGAGCGGCCTTTGTCACAACCGTATCGATAAGTCTTCTCGTTGTGATAACATTAGTCAACAAGCAATCGATTTGATCCCTGAGTTGTTTCAACGAAAATAGAGGAGAGCCTTTCCCAATGTACCGTAGTTCAGATTTTCTCCATGGAGTTTGATAAATTCTAAATATGACTTCCATTCCTTCCTGATTTATCTTCTACTTTCTGTTTCGTTTTGTCTTTTTTCGTTCTCTTGCTATCTCCCAAATTCCATTACCATAGATTGCACAGTGGAGGAGGAAATTCAGTTTGCAAGGAAGGTGTGCGATGCAATAATGAAGGTGAACTCTATTTTGAGGAGTTTTTGTTCGAGTGAGAGTGAGTCTCTCGAAAATAGAAGCTCTGGTCGAACCGTCGTCGCCATCGCTGCGGATCTACTAATGGACTAGTACCAGGTTCATCTAGATCTACAGATGGAGTTCTTCACGGTCGTGGAGGCGAGAATCAATGGAGTGAAGCTGGGGATGAGCCTCGATCTAAGAGGTCGCCAAGCCCATATCCGACTTTGACTGAGGCTAACGACCTTCGTTACCTTCCCTGTCTTTATCAACACCTTATTATCTTCCACCTTTTCTTCTTCTTTGGTTGTATGCAAATCGAAATTTTTTTTTGATGTCAAACATGGACAAAAACCTTAATTTGGACAAATCAAAATTAGGTTTATATTTTGGGCAAAGATGTAGACGACGTCGTTTAGGGCTGTTATTGTTGACTAAGCATGCAGGTGAGCCACGTTGGTCGAGGAGATTGACAAAATATTGTCACGTCAACCTAAATCGGAATTGACACTTAAATTATTGTTTTTTTCCTTCTAAAAAATGGCACCTAAGTGATTTAACAAAAAGTTTGGGCACTAGAGTGAGCCCCGTACGAAAATTATGACATTTCTAATATGTTTTTTTCCCACAACATTTTGTATATACACCAAGACATCATAACGAACATTATTTGTCTCCGCTCGGAATTAGAAATAATATTTGAAACTTTAGCATCAGCTATCATGCCAACACTTTCCTTCATGCCAATATCTGGCCCTAAAATGTTTGTCCAAGATCCGTTCCCATTCCAATGTACAGTTCTTCTTTATCTTCCTTTTCTTCTTTTTTCAGGGAGAACATTTGAATTTAGGGTTGGAGATGGGTTAGGTTTAAAACAGATGCGTGGTGTTAAGATATGTGAAAATTTGCACGGTCATATGGTCCAACAGAGACAGATTGAAGTGGGCCTGGGCCTTATATCCATCACATACAGACTCACATAACATTCACAGAAACAGAGAGAGAGAGAGAGAGAGAGAGAGAGTTGGAAGGTACTGTTTCCACTTGGAGAAAATAGCCTCTCCAATCACACCCTCGTCCCACTTCCATTATTGGAATGTTTTTTCTTGCATCGCCACGCCCACTTGAAAAGGATTCTCACACTACGCAGAGCGAGAGAGAGAGAGGAGAGATTAGATGGATTGATGGACGGATTGACACCTCTCAAAATAAAATTTGGGCCTTCGTTTGGAATTTTGTCTGGTGCGAATTGACGTGGCCTCTTTCTCTTCCCACTTCGTCTTTCCCTTCCCTCTTGGTGTTGTGGGCCCCCATCCTTTTATTTTCGTTTTTTGGAGACCAAAGTGTCTGTTTCTCTCTGACACACTATAGCCTCCTCCTCCCTCAACTTTTATTTATTTCTTTAATTGTTTATTATTGTGGTACTTTCAATCTAATCTCTATCAATAAAATTATGGGAGCCATTCTTTTTTTTTTCTTTTTCCTGTTTTTTCCCAGGAATATTTTGATTCCGTGGATGATGTAAACCATGACAATTAATTACAAATTTGCGGATCTATCTATCAATCTATCCTATATGGCTGAGTTGTCTTTAGCAGTTTTTGTTCAGACATTAGACCCACGTTCCCAAAAAGAGAGTGTACTCAACCTAGCATGCGATTGTATCCTCCCCCTCCTCTATTTTTCGCCCTTTAGCCAAGATCAAGAAGAAGGTACATTATCTCAATAAATAATGCCATTAGTCACTGATATTTACTACTTTTAGGAAAGAATACCCTTTAAAGGCCCGATGAACCACTATTTATAGGAAAAGTAACTTTCACAATATCGATGAACACGTCTTTCATCAGGCGACAGACTCAATATATTCGTAGCAAATGAACTCTTTCGATCACTGAGTTCCATGAGAAGAAGCTAGCCCCAACGGTTTTTTTCACGTTCAATTGGTTAACATTTAAAATTAATTGAGCCGTAAAAAGACTTGAATAAAAATTTTAGGGAAATAAAAGAAAGTACAGAGTTCATTGAAGAAAGCGAGGAAAGGGTGTCAAAAATTTCTTTGGCGGGTACACGCACTTAGATCTTTTGCTGTACTTTTTTAATCCAGTTCTTATTTTTATTTTATTTTCCAAAAGGGTATTAAAAGCATAAGTTGCATTTGCAAATTCATAAGCAGCTTCAAGTGGGCATCACTTGGTCCCAAAGCTTGAGTTAGCAGCATATGCACGGATGAAGAACCAAAGAATAGTCAATGCTTCCCAAGGAGTACGGAGATCTTTACATGGTCTGGAGATTGAACAAAAAAACCCTAGTACACGATCTCCATGGACATGTCCCCTAAGATAGGGCAAAATTTTATTTTTTTTTGGCGAAATTATTAACTCTGCAATTTGTTTGTGCTTTGGCATGGGAACAGCCACGTGAGGCCCACGCGCTGTAAAAGTGGAGAGTGAGGGATTATAGAGAGACAGACAGAGAGAGAGAGGGAGAAAGAGAGTCGGCCATAAAAACGAGGTACATCATAGAGAGGCCATTGGTCAGAACATGAACCAAAGAGGCAATGGTGGCCCTCTTCCCGTACTCTTGGATTGGACTTTTCTGGAAAATTTTTCCTTTTGTTACCATTATTCCATTTTCCTTTTTCTGATACCAAACCCCGCTCTCTCTCCCTCTCCTTCTCTCTCTTCTTAGATTTTATTTGATTCTTTCCAACTTTTTCAAATTTCTTGGTATTGTTGTTAACGAAGAGAGAAAGAAAGACCAACACCCCCCCCCCCCACTAATTTTCATGACCCGAAATGAACACCCTTTGGGGCTCGGCCATTTACTGCTGCCCGTTACAAATGTTAAAAACCAATATTCTTTCTGGCGTGAGGAGGAGGGAGCGAGTGTGATGATAATTATAACAACAAAAATAAATCAAGAAAATCGCTTTTCTGAATGTGATTGAGAGAGAGAGAGAGAGGGAGAGGGAGAGAGATGCATGCTCTGAAAACTCGACACCACCCAATTTGCCATTAATAAAATGATAGGTGGAGATGACTTGTGATGTGACTGAACGAATGATAATTACTATCTAATAAATGTAATGGAAGGGACGAGAGAGAGGGAGGGAGGGAGGGAGAGAGAGAGAGGGGATGCTTTTCGATTTGGTTAACGTGGGAAAGCTGAGTGAGAAAGAGACGGTTCATTCTTTCCCATGATCCCATCTCGGATGGCATTTATATATGCTAGAAAAGAAGATGTATGTAGTGTGTGTACATTCTGGGGAGAGAGAGAGAGAGAGAGAGATGATGAATTGGTGAAGTTTTGTACCCAGGTCACAAAGAGAGAGGGAGAAAAAAGGGGGAAAGAAAAACAAAAACTTGTGTTGCGGGTTAATGCAAATTGGAGAAACCCAACAGAGTAGAAGCCAAACCGAGTTCTTGTTCGGATTCATTGAAAAATATAGAACTTGGCCTTTCAACAGAGAGAGAAGCTTGAGAGAGAGAGAGAGAGAGGCAAGTGGCTAGAGAGAGAGAGAGAGAGAGAGAGAGAGAGAGTGCTTTCGGCTAATCAAGCTAATACCCCCCTCGTCTATGCTGTATTGGCCAGTTAAGGGAATACCAAAATCTCTCAACATCTTCCTCTCTTACTACCTTTTTGCAATTTCTCCCTCCCTCTCTCTCTCCCTCTCTTTTCAGTCCTAGGTTTTCCACTTTCAAGAATCAAGACTCCAAGCCATAGTTTCGCTTCTCAACCCACCCTTCTCTTCTTTATGCATAAAGCACGAAATATAGCCCAGGAAAAGCCTCAAACTCCCCTCCTCTCTCTCTCTCCTTTTTGCCTTGCCTTGTTTTGCCTTGTGGACTTGTGAGAAAGAGAGGGATATGATCAACAAAAACAAGATCCTCGCACTCTCCACTATGAGCTAGAAGAATTTACGCACGGCCTATGTAGAGTGGTCACCTAATTCTTCTTCTTCTTTCTATCCCTTCACGCTCGCCCATAAACAAGCTCGCAAGTGGAGCAAAGGAGGGAGGAGGGAGCAAAAAAAAAATGTGGAATCTGAACGACTCGCCCGATCGTGCCGTGAGGCCAGGCGAGGAATCGGAAGGCTGTTCCTCCCCCAAGACCTCCGATGACGAAACTGCAGCAGACGCGCGGGGCAAGCGGGTCGGATCCATGTCAAATTCCAGCTCCTCCGCGGTGGTCATCGAGGACGGATCCGACGAGGAGGAGGGCCTGGCGACGGCGGCCGCCAAGGCTCACCGGAAGCGCAGCAGCAAGATTTTCGGGTTCTCGGTGACCCGAGAGGGGGAAGCAGATTGCGACGAGGGCGACGACAATCCGGGGAGCCGCCACCCGGTGACCCGGCAGTTCTTCCCGGTGGAGGAGGAGGAGGAGCTGGAAGAGGATGGCGAGCAGGCAGGAATGGGGGCAGCCGTGCCGGCGGGGTTCCCAAGGGCGCACTGGGTCGGAGTCAGGTTCTGCCAGTCGGATCATCATCCAATCGGGTCGGGCAAGGGCTCATCGATGTTGGAGGGTTCGCAGCCCATGAAGAAGAGCAGGAGAGGGCCGAGGTCCCGGAGTTCCCAGTATAGAGGGGTCACTTTTTACAGGCGAACTGGAAGATGGGAGTCTCACATATGGTTTGTCATTCTCAATTTGAACTTTCATTTTTTTGGGTGAATTTTCTCCCCCCCAAAAAAAAAAATTTGGCCTTTTTTTTGTTGGGGGGGTATATTATAGTCTCCTTTCTCTCGCGCTTTTTAGTGAGTTTTGGCCAATCAGGATTTGAGTTTCTTGTTTGCTTTTCTGTGAATGGTGCAGGGACTGTGGAAAGCAAGTTTATCTGGGTATGTATATGTATATGTATGCACTTGCTGGGGGTTGATCTTCTTATTCATCTCTTCTTTTTCTTGGTAGGAAGGAACGTAAAAAATGATGAATGCCTTCCTGTTTTTTGTTTCCCTTAATATATGCTCTTTAGAGATTGGTTTCGGGTTGAATGCTGAGATGATATTGTGTGCTCATCTTTTTGTGTGTCCATAGGTGGGTTTGACACTGCACATGCAGCTGCTCGGTGAGCTCCTCTTTCCCTTTTCTTCGAGAAAATATTTGTCATCTTTTTTTCTCTTTTTCAGGGTTTATCATGACTTAATGTGATACTAAATGAGCTCATATTTTGGAAAATAAAATAAAATTCAGAGCGTATGATAGGGCGGCAATCAAGTTCCGGGGAGTAGAAGCAGATATAAATTTTCGTATTGAAGACTATCAAGAAGACATGAAACAGGTAAAGTCTGCACGAGAGTTTTATTAGGAAAGCAAAAGTAGATAAAAATAGAATGGGGAGAAATATGTTGAGGCCATATCTCTCATTACTTCTTCATCTTGATTGCTTCCCACCTTATCTCTGAAGTTCGACTTCCCAGATGCCTCTTTCTTCCTCTATGTTTTATTTTGAAAATAATGGCTTTGAACTCTTGACAAATACCCCATTGGGCACACAATGAAAATGAAGGCTGGGTTATTGTTGCAGATGAGTAATTTAACCAAGGAAGAATTCGTGCATGTACTTCGCCGGCAAAGCACCGGATTTCCGAGAGGAAGCTCGAAGTACCGGGGAGTCACATTGCACAAGTGCGGAAGATGGGAGGCCAGAATGGGACAATTTCTGGGCAAAAAGTATTTTTCCCTACATTGCCATGATTTTTCTTTTCATAATATGCCTTTGTTGTTAATTTAGTATGCCCCCTTGATTTCTTTGAATATGGTTGATTCAACAGGTATGTGTATCTAGGACTGTTCGATACCGAGATTGACGCCGCAAGGTTTGTGCACTTAGGTTTAACATTCCTAGGGAAACTTGTAAAATTAAGTTGGAAAAAGTAAACGTGTTGGAAGAATTAGTGAAATGATATTCCTGGTAATTACGAATTCTTGCAGGGCTTATGATAAAGCTGCGATTAAGTGTAATGGCAAGGATGCTGTCACCAATTTTGACCCAAGCATCTATGAGAATGAGCTTAACCCCAGTGGTAAAATTTTGCGGATCACTCCTAAATTCCAATGATCTCATTGTTTTATAAATTTTCCAGTACAAGGTTGCAAGGAGTGAGTAAACTTCTCTTTGTTGTTGTCTTTGCGTTGGTTATGTGCGGGGGGCAGAATCTTCTGGAAGTGCTGCAGATCACAATCTTGATTTGAGCTTAGGAAGTTCAGCTTCAAAGCCAAACAATCTTGAAGTTGGAAATGATGTCCAAAATGTTGGGGTTGACCAGAGTTCCTCATCGATGCCATACGAAAGCGATTGGCGCAATCGAGAATTAAGGCCCAAGGTTGATATTTTTGTACTTTCTTTTGCATTATTGTACTTGACAATCTTCTACGAAGTTTGGTTCTCCTTTTTCTATTTTTCTGGTGTGAAGTGGATTGCCAAATTTCTGCTTCTGATTATGGGGTTGCAGCTAAATCTCCATCAAGAGCCAGGAAGAAGGAATGGGTACAATGAAGCCGAGACCACGCTGTTGCTGAGTCAAACGCACATTCACTCTCCGGGCTCCATGAGAGCTCCTACTGCTCATGATGAACTGCAAATATATGGACAAATGAAGAGACCAGGAGATCATCAAGCGCACAACATGCTTCACCTTCTTCCACCCCATCTCGGCTCATCAAATTACCAAGTGAGCATCTCTGACACGTACTTTTTTTTTTTTTTGGTAGATTGGATATGCCTCAACTAGTTCCGTGATTTTACTTTTTTTGGGATCCTTGTACGATGTAAATAATATTTAGATAGGAATATAATCTATGCTAGAAGTGCTATAGTGGAAGGTAATTTGCCTAACCCCGTAAAGAAAAGGTTGCTACCAAATCATCAAGTGACCCAAAAGTTAATATAGCAATACCATAATCGGGTAAAGTAAAGATTTGAGAAAACACCCAAATAGATTCCATTAAATCTGTTTCGGTGAGTATTTATTATGAGCAGCAATTTTTTGCTTGTTGACATTATGAGGTGCAATGTTAAATTTGTAGTTCGAATGGGTTGAGGGGTGAGTCATTATGTGCACAAGTTGGGACCAAACTGAAGTTTAGGGGACCAAATTTTTACCCTTTTAATATTCCTTTTGTAGGTGCAGTTCGCAAGCAGCAGCTATGGAGGAAGAATTGGAGGAGATCTTCAACTGTCATCGACAACAGCACCGCCAACAAGCGAGCATCAACAATGGCGCTCATTGACGCCGTCGGCATCATCATCGTCGAGTGCTCTCCATGCCTTTGCAACTGCTGCAGCATCATCAGGATTCCCACAGCAGATCAGACCCACCCCAAATTGGCTGCAGAAAAATGGGTTTCACTCATTCATGAGACCTTGATTGAACCCCCACCCAAAAAAACAAAAAAACGGGAGAAAGAAACCAAAATTGTCTTCTAATAATTTTTCTGCTCTGTCCATTTATCTGGGTCATCCTCCAAATTTTTGTTCCTCTTCTATAAAAATATCAAGCTCTGTAATGAAACCCTCTTTCCTTCACTCGTGTTTTTTCTTTTTTCCCCTTCTCTCTAACCCCACAAAAAGAGAGAAGGAAGAGAGGTAGAGAGAGAGAGAGAGAGGTAGAGGAATATCGATGATGTTTTTTCACAGATTACGGAAGCGTGGTAGGGAGATCTTGGTCGTCGGTCAAAACTAACAAGCGGACGAAATCTATCGACTAGATTTTCTGGGTTTCTGACTAGAAACTGCTCCAATCTTAATGCATCGTTTTGATGCTTCTTCTGTTTTGTTTTGCCCTATAGAATTTATTACCTCGCATCTACCCTATATAATAAAAGTAATATGACATTACTTTTTTATTGGTTTCTTTATTTTTAAGGTTTTCGGTAAATTGTTATCGTCCTCGCCCCATGTAACTCATGCCTCAACTCTTTGTTCTCTCGTTTATTGCCATTCCTGTTATCTTTATGACATTGTCCCGTGATCTTGTTGGCTTCTTGTTCGATTATGGCACTATCTTTGGCTATTTTGTTGGGCTGGATGAGAGGGAGACCCTACATGGGGTGTCTTTAATTCTCGGTTTCCCTAATGGAGTAAATGCTAAAATAAGGACACGAGCGATTGGGAGATGGGGTGAAACAGAGAAATCCAGCTTAGGTTCCCATCAAAAGAGGAGCGAGACAGTATATGAAGAGATTCAGACAGGAGTTTGCGAAATCCAAAGGAAAAAAAAAAGAAAAGAAGAGGAAACGGAAGGGTAATTCAATAAATACAGAGTTCTTCATTTGGGGGGGGACGAATGAAGAGAAATTACGAATTGCGGGGTGATTTTAATTTGGCATAGCCTTGGAAATGTCAACTGGATGGGGATGAATGGTCGCTGTCAAGGGTGTCCTTTGAATCAGTTCTCTCGGCCAAAAGCAGTCAGACACGGCTATTATTACGAGAGGGACTTATCATCCTTAACCCCAAACTTTCCAAAGGACACTGATAAAAAGGGGAGGAGAGGGGACTGTGTCCTAAAGGGCATGGGTTAACCCCTGCCCGAGCAAGTGAGTAATTCCTATCTTGGTTTTTTGGTTTTTCTTTTCTATTATATTCTGTAAGGAAAAGCCAAAAAAAGGAGAGGAGAAGTGGAACCGCTTGCAAAAGAAAATCTACATGGACCTTTTGCTTTCTTTTTTGTTTGAAGGAAAATAAGAAAAAAAAGGGGAGAAATGAAATTGCTTCCTAAAGGTTTTACATATATGGACGCATGTGTAAGATCGAATCCATTCGATTTCGAAAAAAGATTACTGATTCTTAACTTTTCAAGGAATCCTTTATTAAGGGTGTGAATGATGGTTTTTTTTTCAATCTTTTCGGCTTTGGTTCCGTAGGAGCAAGTCAGAAAGATTGAGAAATTAAACCATCTGATTTGATTCGTTTTCGATAGCCATGAACACCTAAAATATCATGGTTTACTTAGATTACAATACGCAAATTCAAAGGGACTTGTGTTTTTAAGTGAGTGCTAGTGTAGATGCCAGTGTGGATCTCGGATATTTCTACATATGATTCACTTGGTCTTAAAAAAAATGAGTACTTCATATAATGATTTTTTGTGAATTGTGTAGTTATTGTAATAGTAGATATATATTCCTTTGTGTTCTGAAAAATACAAAAAAGACGTCTGTGCGGGTCATTATCTCAAGGGGCCACAAAAAGTTTCAAATTGTGATATATATCTCTAAATATTCATATCTCTACAGTGATAATTAGTCAAGTTCTTGAACTTCAGATAGACAAAGTGTCACTGGGTGCCACCAGCTGCCGGTCCAGGCAAAATGCCCCTAAAGATGGGCAAAAGATAAAAAAAAATTTAGATTTCGTTCCCAATATATGTTTTTGTCCTCTCATCCCTTCGCATGATACTAGGTTATTATGGACATGTGAAGAAACACTTTCTTGTTTGCTGCTACCAAACCTGCGAGGATACGAAGCTACGTGGGTTTAGATGAATGCACATCCTGCAAGCAAAGATATTTTTATTTATTTGTCATTTTTCGCAATAAAAAAGAAATCTGCCAAGAGGGGTAACTCCATGACAGCAAAGCTCAATAGAATAATCAGGGGATCAATTAAAAGATTATCAAGTTGGAGCAGATATTTCTAGATTTAGGTGACGAGGAATAAAATATGCATTGTCAATTACGTCATCTGGGTCGTCAATCTTGATTTTTATAATATTGTGCCGAGAATAAAGAAGGATCCCACTCTTTCTTTATTTTATTTCTTTTGCCTTATCAAGAATTCCTAGGGCACGATATAATCTTCTCAGACACTGTTACACATGGGTGCACTGTCATCTTGGACCTCCTTGTCTTGTCCACTCGAAAATTCATGAGACATCCTAGAATAGTATAACCTGTGTCGCTTATCAAGCTTCAAAATAATAAAGAGCTTAGCACTAGTGGTGACATATACTATAGCTTGGAAAGAGTGCTGCCTAGAGGCGTGGGGAGGAAATTAAGTTGGTCGAAAAATTAAAAGTAAAGTCGGTATAATATACAATTAATCAGTTGTCCCCAACTCACTCGAAGATCTGTTCAATTTATGGAATTTTAAACCCTAGTCCTAAATTGGTAATCTTCTCGCGAGTTCCATCATTGTGAGTCACTTATTTGATAAATAATTAGTAGATACATCAAGTATGTGTACCCACATACTATGCGGCTGAAAGTGATGTTGAAGAAACACGAACATTATCGACCCATAGCACATAAACCCAATTCAGGGACAAGCCATTAGAGGCCGTGTCGTTCCAGGACTCTCACAGACTGCGACGGGCACCGTGACAACATTTGACGAAGCCACTCCATGTCCAAGTTAGGCCTATCATGATAGTCAATATGGGTTATGAGCCGTGCGTCCAGTGGAAGCACAGGACCATAAAAAGTGTGACGCCATAGCCTAACTCGGGGATCATCGTCGGATTCTGGAAGGTGGAGGGGCCGTGGAACTCCGGTGATGGTTGGGCCACAGGACTTGATGTCGAGATGAGCTTGGGCACGAGTGTTGGGAGTTGCTGGCCGGAAACTACCAGGAGAGAGAGAGAGAGAGAGAGAGAGAGAGAGAGAGACAGACAGACAGACAGACAGAGAGACAGAGAGAGAGAGAGAGAGAGAGAGAGAGAGAGAGAGAGAGAGAGAGAGAGACAGAGAGAGAGAGAGAGGAAGTGGGCTAGTGAGGGGAGCGTCGACATCCATGAGGCTGGGTTGCGAGTTGCTCAGAAAGCGGCATGATGTCGTGAGATGCTGGTGTTGGAGGCTCGGTGATGACAAGCTTCATTGCACCAATCGAACAAGTTTCAAGGGAATCGTCTATGGATGGACAACAGAAGCCAGATATCGAAATCAAGGATGATAATCATATAGGGACTAAGTTGAGATAAGGGCGGTGTTGATTTTTGTAACTCTAGTAGACCCACCCTCCACTGGTCATTTTCGACGGACATTAAATGGGAGAAATCCAACTGGAAGTAGAGAACAAGCACGCAACTTGTAATCCAATATTGAGGACTCCATTGAAAGAAAGAAGAGAGGGACTCGTCGTGTTCAAAGTCACTTGTCGGGAGAACCATTTCCAAACACCCAAGGTCTACTACTACTGGGCACTCAACTTAAACTTAGAGAAAACAGGTCCGGCATCTGGCCGATGACACATTACTTTTCCAAATTTTCAACTTTGTGGATACTCCGAAGCAGATTATATCGGATGTCGGACAGACAGAAAGAACATCACTGGAACATGTCAATTTTTGGGAGTGAAGTTGAGACACAAATATCAACTACTTTGAAGAGGGAGAACTTCCAATTTTAGGAGCTCCTACTATGCGAATGAGCAAAGAGGTTGGGAGTTCCAAAATCGCCAAATGATTTAGATTCGTGTTGATTTTTTTGTCGAAGAACTTCACGAATAATTTTCAATTCTAACAACTTTTATTGTTGAGAAAAAAAAAACAAGCAATCAAATAATAAAATAAACAGAACAAGCAAATAAAACAGACATTGAATTTATGTAGTTTAATCGATGGGACCTACTTCACAAGAAAAGCAGCATAGGATTCTGCTATATATCAAACTATAAGAATATTTAAAAATTGAACCATGTCTTCATCTAACAATAGTAAATGTTTATTGCTAGATAAAGACGTAGTTCAATACTTAAATATTCTTACACAAATGATACAACAGAAAATACTACTACACTCGAGTCACTCGAACACTCTCAGTATTTTCATCCCCCACTTGCACCTTATAACTTACACAGTATTTAGGTCTTGCAGTTCCTCGTGAAACAATCTCTAACCTCACAAAGGAAACCACAAGATTTTATTGGCTTCAAAACAATTGCAATTTCTTCTGTATGTAATTCATAAGCATGTCTCACGATTGATTATTAGTGCCAAAGCTCTCGTAGATGTGGAAAAATCAACACCCACCTCTTATATATATAATATCGATTCAAAATATGAAATCTCTTTTAGAAAACCTAATCAAACTTTGCAATCACTCAAATTAGGAAGCCTATTTGGATCGAGTTTCCTTTACGAGCTTAAAGTCGTTACATATTTTCGATAATCTCCACCTTAAATCGACATTTGAGTCAATTCACAATTGCTTCGCTGAAACTGATCGTTGATACTCTTCCACTGTCCCTCTTGGCTCATCTACCACTAGCATCCTCAAAGTACAAGCCACGCTTGAACTCCCCCTTAACGGTGAACCTTATCAAGACATCAACTTTACCTAGATCTTTAACTACTCTTTAAGATCCGCATACACAACCTCCTCTATTACGGATAAAACAAACCACTATTGTAGCCATATCTGTGAGGAGATAAAGTACGTACCTTGTCAAACTCAATGGGTACAACAACTATTGGCTACACAAGCTCCATCTCACTACAAGCACTGTCTATGTCAGTTAACACACTAGCACCACTACCTCAAGAGTTTCTTATTATAACTCTACCTTGGGCTAAACACCGTTCATAT